TTCAGTTCTTGTCTTAGATTTTTATGAGACTGCAGGGGATTTTTTTGACTTTCTATTTCAGCATTTAAAGAACGAGTTAAACCCGTCAATGTACGTTAACTCTCAATAAACTATTCGGCTTTTAATGAGGCTGAACGATACATCATCACAGGGCGAGCGGCATCACTTTAATGACCTGAAACTCGACTTGCTGACATCACTTCCTCTACAATTCACGTCCAACTGAAACCAATAAAATGCCGATCCTAACAGAAGAACTGACCAGGAAGTGATTGTAGAATGTAAACATGCACGCCTGCTGCTGTTTGAGACATAGTTTGATTCTCGTTTTACTAACCTGACCTTAAACGCCTCACAATGTGACCCTATGTCACCTCTGTGAACTAGCTAACTAGATTATATCCGATTATATAACATGGATTTTAACTTCCGGCTAAACACACGCCCTCATGTGTTCTTCGCTATTTTCACTTTGCTCTTGAAAATCCATTTCAACCTTTAACCACGATTTGTGTCACATGACTCCTTGCCACTTAACTGTTAATTTGGTGTATTTTTAACCAGCAAACAGTTTGCAGGTGTGTCCAGCTGTATGGAACTGGGACTTTTACTCCATTTACCAAGCAAACAGCTAACTAAATTTACTCTCTTTCATGAAGTTCGGGTCAAAAAATGAATATTTAGTGAATGCCCGTGCAATCATTACATCGTTGCTGTTCTTAAAAGGGAAAGCAAAATGTTTCTACCCAGTATCTTTAGAGTAACTGGAGTATTTTCCTGATCCGTCATCTCTGACTCCAAAATTGACCACAGAAAGTGCCGCTGCAGGCGACCAATAAGCTGCCTGTGTCATCTTTCAGGAGTTTCTTTGTCCCCGCAGACACGCACAGATAAGTGTGAGAGGAAGCACAAAATATTCAGAGGCTCCTCGATGCTGCTGGGTACAAACTTCATGAATTAATTGTTAATTTTTGCATTTTGAAATATGCTTTTGCGTGCATCTGAGTACAAACTGAGACCTGTGATGTTGCACTCCTGTTACAGTATCTTCACTAAATTCTCATGCACAAAACAGCCACCATTTAGGAGAAGAAGAACTGCTTCACTAGCTCTTTATCTGTTTGCTGTATTTCTTGAGCTTGGTGGCACCCCCCCTCACCGCTCCTCCTCCTCCTCCCCGCCCCTCCCTTCATCCAGTGATCGTTTTGTGAACCCGTTAGCCTGTCATTGGTTTAGAGACTCCAAATGACCCTGTGTTTCTGCAGAAGACTCATTCATCCCCTCCCTCTCCCTCCCCAGGCCACTGGCAATACTGATGACCGCCAGAAAGACACACATGCACAGACACACACACACACACAAGCGGGCACTTTTCTTACAGACAGACATTAGCTCACGCACGCACGCACACACACACTGATGGCGGCTGTGGTTTGCTGGTGTAATGTGCTTTGTTGTGTGAAGGTATCAATCAGAGGGGAGCAGATTATTAGAGTGTCTGAAAGAGATCAAACAATGTTGCCGTCTGCACCCACACATGGCTGATTTACAGGCAGGCTGATAAAGTACTGCAGCTCTCTGTCAGGGGCTACATGACGGCTCGCCGCGCTCTTAGGATAAATTATTGCAGAGGCCCGCGGTAATGTCTCTCCACCTAGCAACCAGCCGCCCCAGCCGCTGCCAGGGGAGCCCTGCCTCGTCTGCCATAATGGCACTGTGTCCGGGGTCAGCAGTTACTGTATCGTAGCAGGGTGGGAGGGATAAGTACACACGCACACGTTTGCACACACATACGCTCGAATGCACGCGCTTGCGCACCGTTTCTCGTTTGTCTCCACACCTGCCATTGAAGGCAATGCCAAAAGACACTCGGGGATGACTGCAGGAGGACGGAGTGGACACAGGGGAGGTGCCGATGCCTGCCGACAATTTTGCAGTAGAGCAACATTTTGAAGAAGTGACGCCAAGGCTCCGAACAAGACAGCGCTGAGAGAGGAAAGGGTGCCATTATCAAAAAATAAAGCTTGGCAAAAACATTAAAGACGGCCATTTGTAACAGTGAGTCTAATATTACTTATGTGATTGGCTGAGAGGCCATTCTGCAGACACATTCTTTCATACTGAGCTGCCTCTGTCTCCGTCCTTATGTCAGCAGGCAGGCCTGTAGGAAAACAATCACTTTCAGGATGATAACGAGGAAAATAAAAGAGAAGGAAGGCTCATTATGTCCGCCACAATCTGGACTGTTGCCAGACTTTAGTGCAACTTCTTCAAAGGTAAAGGAGAGGACATCACACACCCTACCCTCCCACAACCCGTCACATCTGTGGGCTTTAACTTTTTCCTGGAAAAGGTTTCACTAAATGATCGTTAACACGTTATCTGATGTTGGCTTACGGTTTTATCACCATCGTCATTTGTTTTCCCTTCTTCTGAACCCCAAAACCGATCAGGGGCACTGTCCACTCGCACCAACAAACAATCACATCTAATTAAAAACATCTATCAACATCATATTGTGTATTTGATCACATTTAAACCTCACACAGGAAAACAAGTTTAAGTGGAATCTCTTCTCTAAACTCTGTATTGCAAAACGTCATATTCTATGGAATCACACGATAATGCAATGTAACAACATCACTTAGCAACACAACATGACGACACGATGTAACAACATCACTTAGCAACACTACATGCCGACACGATGTAACAACATCACTTAGCAACACAATATAACAACACAATGTAACAACATCACTTAGCAACACAACATGACGACACGATGTAACAACATCACTTAGCAACACAACATGACGACACAATGTTACAACATCACTTAGCAACACAATATAACAACACAATTTAAAAACATCACTTAGCAACACATGACGACACAATGTAACCACACCACTTAACAGCACAACATGACGACACCATGTAACAACATCACTTAACAACATGACGACTCAATGTAACCACATCACTTAGTAACACAACATGACGACACGATGTAACCACAATGTAACAACATGTAGCAAAGTAACAATGCAATGAAAAAATGTAGAGCAACGAGACAAACTAACGCAATATGATATAGCATTGAATCATTATGTGACACAACGCAACGTAAGGCAGCTTAAATGCAATGCAACCGCAACACTATCTTACTTAGCATAACGTTAAGGTATCTTACACAACCTAGCATAACAAATCGTGACCAAACAGGATGTGACGTATCATATCATGATGTATTGATTTACTGAGTAATATACTCAAATGTTTAATTCAAACATGTCAATAAATAAAAAAAGAAAGTTATTAGATTGCAGAAGAATAATTAATTTCATGCAAAAATATAGAGGCAAAAATAAGCGACACTTGATAACTTAAGTTTACATTTTCCAAAAGTGGAAACAAGTAGTGGGAGTGGGAACAAGTACAACTTTCTTTATCCCAACCTTCCTCATGAATTAAGAGTTGATTACTTAACTTTCTCAGTCATTTGATAACTATACTATCCTTTCCTGTCATACTTTTTTAATCTGTTTTGTATCAAATCATGTCATATTATATCCTATCACATCATAATGTTCTGTTCTTTACTGTATTATATTGATTTATATTGGATTTAAATGAATTTAGTGTATCCTCACATCCCTGGTTTTCTATTACTTTGTTTTTTTTGCCAAACTCTGAACAAAGCATGTGTTGGTTTTCAGCAGGTCCTGCCGCTATAGTTCGAGATATTTTAACAGTAAAAACAATATTTTCAGAATGTGGATGACATGATGAATCCTCTTCCTAATACGTTCCTTGGTTTATGAAAGTCCAACAGAGACGTTTTTATATAGATGTGCATTCACAACAAAAACAGCATTTACTTGATCCACTTCCCCAAAACAAGGCTGCATTTCCAGAGCTGTACTCCAGCATCCTGTGACAGAGTTAGATTTATAGATGGATAGACAGAAATCAAAATGAATAAGTCACCAGTCAGAAGTGGATTTCACTTACAGATGACGCATGACTATTTCATATCCCGCTGGCCTTTTATTTACTCAGGATGGCTTTTTCCCTGCACACTGAGCAAGGTCAGAGATTTCACACAAGGAATTGGCAGGAACGACCGCAAAAAGAGTGGAAAACTATATAGAGACGCTAAAAGATAGATGCTGTCAATTGAGCGTAATGAATATTTTACCTAGGCCTTCTCCATTAGAGCTTTTCTGCAGCATCTTTCTATATTAAAAAAAAGAGGATGTGAGAAATAAAAAACAAAAACAAGTAAAAAATACATTCTATCCAGCCGGTGGTCAGGAATTCAGACACAGGCTTTGGCAAGTTGTCTGCCATTTTTGTAGTGACTGGGTGATTGCCTCCTCCCTGCCTCCCCCCCTCCCCTGTGTTATCTCGCTCAAAGCAGTGCCATCCCTCCATTGTAATAATGCCGCTTCCCAGCAGCCCTTGGAATGACCTTTCTTTAATTAACTGCATCTTGATGAGCAGATCTACATAGAATGTGAAGGTTAATTAATGAAGTATCACTGCTTAGTCTTAAAACCATCACCTAGCGGATGACAGCCTGCCCACCACTCTCAATTTTACCCCCCGATCTCATTAGCAATGGTAGGCCAATGGACAGCTCTGCTCTGGCCAGTGGAGCTGGAGCAAATTGTATCAAAGACAGGCCGTTTGATGTCCTTCATATGGCTGCATAAAGCCATATCCTGACTCTGGACTTTGAATAATATATGAGAAATACTCACAAATACACACACACGCATCTTTGCATCACATTATGTGTTTGTGTTTTTCTCTGAAGTACGAATGTCGTCAGCAATCTCATCAATAATTCAAATGAAGGTAAAATAATATTTCAATTAAGATCCATGTAATCCGTTTCCTGCGAACGAATACATGACGGATGGTGATGGATAATTCTTGTATTATTGCACAGTTTCATCTTGATAAGCTTTCGGTTTCCGTGTGATTTCATTTCAGGGCGCACTTCGGCGTCGCTTATCGTTGCCATTTGGAAAGAGGATCCACATTAGCAAACGTGGCCCAACTCCTAAAAGTGTCTCCGTGTGGCAGTTTAAGCTGGTAAAAGATGGGACAGTGATGACCTGGGGTCTACAGTTACAGCACATTTCCCCAAACTGGCAGCGCTCATGCAGCTTTTTGGCTATCTGTGATCTATCACAGTCGAGCAGGAGGTGAGCTATCGCCTCAGTATGCACAGCACTTAGAACGCAAACACTCGGTGGACATGTGACACGATCCATCACCATGGATGCTAGGTTTTTGTTGCTGTTGATTGCAAGGTTTCCTCTCCTGGGTATCGCAGGCCAGGCGAGCCACCTGGGCTCATTTACCTCCCCACCTGGCCCGGACATTGGAAAATGAAACTGAAAGTATCCAAGATTACTATCCTGGGCTGGGCTTTCTGGCTCTTTTTAATGATAAATGAGAGTCACAGAGGGGGGAAAAAAAGATCATTTTTAGAGTTCATTCACACAATTAAATACTGTGCAGTCAGTGGTTTTGGTGTGGAGATGAGTCTCAAGTGGTTTTTTTTTTTTTTTTTTTTTGACAATCTTGTCTCATGATTAAACACATTTAGGCTGGTCTTGCCTCAGACTTCAGATTTTGGATTTTTTAAATTAAAGGAAGAAGTAATACTCAATTTCCTGGACATGATCTAACTCATCCCCTTATCATCCTTGGATTCAAAACAGATTTAAGAAAATGTATTCAACAACATGATATCACCATTATACTGCAGAAGCTACTCTATCCAAACAAGTTGTTATTTTTTTATAGCAAGTCGTTATCATGTAGAACAGACTGTTGCTAGGGATACGGCTCTAATAACAGACTGTGGTGGACCAACAACATAGTATCACCATTATATATCAGGTATTGGCTGATTTGTTCTATAATTATCAGTACTGGTATCTGCCATATGACAAGTTGCCACTCTATTCGAACGACCTGTTATTTTTTGATAGTGACCTGTTATTACACAGAACAGACTGTTGCTATGGATACAGCTCTAATAACAGACTCTGGTGGACTTACTTTAATTATGTGAATAAAGAAGTCCAGTAAATTAAGTTTTTTACTCTGTAGCTACTTAACTCAACATATGTATGGAGTTAAGAGGAGTTTAAAGACTGGTATACAGTATGGTAAAGTTTTACCCTGGAGTTGAGACCAGAAACTCTCCTTTGAGTCGGGGTTCTGCTCTCCCTGTCTGGTTCGATCCCACTAACATCACCGCTGACAACATGGTATCACCATTATATATCAGGTATTGGCTGATTTGTCCTATAATTATCAGTACTGGTATCTGCCATATGACAAGTCACTACTCTATCCAAACCAACTGTTATTTTCCAGTAGCGACCCGTTGCTATGCAGGACAGACTGTTGCTAGGGATATGGCTCTAATAACAGACTCTGTTGGACTAACTGTAATTATGTGAATAAAGAAGTCCAGTAAATTTGACTTCTCACTCTGTACTTAACTCAACACATGTATGGAGAGAAGGGGAGTTCAAAGATTGGTATAAGGGTAAGTCTGACCTTTGAGGTGGGGCCAGAAACTCTACTTTGGGTTGGGGTCCTGCTCCCCACTGTCTGGTTCAAACCCACTAACATAAGTTGCTCATCAGTACTTCTTTTGCTTACGGCCAAATTAAGACTTTTAGCCGAGGTATAACAAGCATCAACAGTAACCGAGTTGATCCACAGGTCTTCATCATGACTTGGTCTCTTTAATTACACTGCATACCTGAATGCATTGTGTGTGTTTCCATAGACACCAAACTAACTCTGAGCGGCTTTATGTGACTCTGTAGGGTTTAGGTGTAGATCTCCATCATGAGTGTGTCTCTGTATTTTACCAGCGCCTAGAAAAATGACGGCGCATCTCGAGGTAACCTTGCTGTAGCCCCTAAAGTCTGAGCATTAATGCATGGCTCGACTTGGAGTAGCAGTGGAGGCACAAAACAACTTCCACATGACAGCAGAGTTTTGACAAGCGCGTGTTTATCCTTTTTATCTGCTATCTGCAGAATAAAGAATAAAATATGACAGATATACCACGGCCATCTGGATACAGCTAACCCACGAGGAAAGCTACCAGTCTCTATTTGTGTCTGTTAGTGCTACAAAGTTATTGATTCTTAGCATTTACCACTGCAACCTTTTGACAGCAGACACAGGCACGTATGTAAAAGCTGACATGGCTGACTTTGTGACAAGCTAACAAAGAGTGATATCCCCCTGCTGTCTCTCACTGCTGTCTGCGTATTCATACAATAGGAATGAATAGAAGCTCCTCTACTTGTGCTTCATTTGAACCTTGTTTTTATCCACATTGACAATGATTTCCAAGCCTCATTTATGGATCAAGTCATGAAGAAAGACGGAGCTGTTCCCCATAAATTGTTGAGGGTTTGGCAGCGTAAACTCGATCCCTAATTGGTGTAGCTTTTTGCTTCCAGTGATACAGTGTCACACCTTCACTGATGACTGTCAGGTAAACTTTCCATATAGAAGTATTTCTCCACTGAAGCGTCTATCTGATTTCCCTTTCAGCGCCTGGAATGACACTCCACTAAAAGCTGGCACAATACGCTTCCCGCACACACAACGCTGTCACCAAAGACAACTCGGGAGAAGCGAGTGTTTTGAGAGTTTGAAACAAAATAGCTGGTGCAGCATTTCCCCATTTCCGTCTGAAATCCTTGACACCAGAGGATTTACAGTGAAGTGAAGTGAGGTGGGTGCCGTACCGAGCGAGCTGTGGGGGCTGAGTTAGCTCGAGTGGGAGGGAGGGATGGGGTCCGCACTACACTCGTGCTGACAGGGATCCTCCCTGTAGCGCATGCTTTTTTTTCCATTAGTTCTTACTCACTCTCTTGCCCTCCAGACCCGCAGAGTGAGGAAGATTTAAGTGGCCAGTCAAGTGAAATCCCCAAGGTTTGGCAGGTGTGAGGTCTGGCTTCATTATCTACAGACACCTCTGTCCAATTATGAGCCTTTCTCCCTCTGTGACGATGATGATGCCGCATATGTGTGTGTGTGTGTCTCTGTAGGTGTATGTGTGGAGCCCCATTGTTATCTGTCTAACTATCAAGATTCCCTCCACCATTATGACATCATTGACAATTTTACAGACACAGATGTAAGTCCGTGCATGCACATTTACACCTCATGCACGTGCACACACGCACAGATCTTTTGTTTAGATTAGAGCTGGACTGATGTGAGTTTCCACACTTTTAGGGTCGATATTAGACATACGTCTGCTTTGGCACGTACAAAAACTTTCTTTACGATCAGGTTTATCACGTTTCCTACCACTTTTTAAACACTCTCAGCACATGTAACAGGTCGCAGACCACAGAATAGCTCAACAATTCACAATTTAAGAGGTCGACGATTACAGCCGTGGTGATTATTCTGATAATTACTGAGGTCACAGTTCAGTCAGTCACAGTTACGTCTAGAAAACATGTTATTTTCATGCCCTTCCACATGCGTACAAGGAAGGCCTGGTAAAACACAGGTAAATCAGACAGAGTAGTGAAAGGAAGAGCAGAGGAGGGAGGAGGGTAATGTGGAAGAAACAGAAAGAATAAACCAGCCAAAGCAGTTCAAATTGACTTTGTGGCCTGCCTGAACTAGCACCTTACTCAAGTTAATTATTACCTTTAGGGATGTACCATTCCGATATTTGATATCAGTATTGGTCCCGATACTGAAGAAGATTCTACAACCGGTGTCATGACAATGGGCCCAATGCACAGGGGCTGATCTATTTCTTCTAACTCTATGTTATGCGCCATGAGTTGCATCCACAAGTAAACACGCTGAGCGGATGCCCACATTGTTTTCAAAATGGAGTGAGCAAAGGGGTCTGCTATCTTGAACTTCATCACAATACCTCAGTCTACAAGCTCGACGGCCACTTGCAATACCTGCATAGTAAAAATTCTGAGAGGCAGTGTTAAAACTTCAAGTTACAACAAAAGGTAATTCAGCGCAGATTTTCTGGATTGGTATCGGCCAATACTAAACTGTAGATATGTGTATCAGTATCGGAGGTGAAAAAAAGCAAATTGGTGCATCCCTGGTTACGTTTAGGGGCATCTTTGTACTGTTCATTTCAAAATATGCTGCATCTATGAGACCAATACTCTGCCCTAACCTTTTTTCAACCCACATCGGCCACAATCTGGTCAAAAATAGCTCCAAATAGCATCACAGCTTTCCTTTTACAAGAGATCTGACTTCATTTTAATGAGGATCAAAATAAAACTTTACAATCAGCAATACAGATTCGAAATATTAGGTCCATGCTTTTATTCCCCTCTCTGTAAGTAGAGCAAAGCAACACCTGAAACCTACTTGTGCAATAATGTTAATGATGATCAGGTCCCACACTTGCTATAAAAGAGCAAAGAGCCACAATAAATTACACACAACCATCCTGTGATCATCTGTCTCACTGGTTTTGATACATCTCCACGGCTTCTCCATTTTGCTGACCCACTGGTTCCAAAATGTCAGCTACTAAAAACTGGAGCAGTGCCTTGTAAGCTGCTTCAAACAAGCACAGGGGCTCCTTTTCTCCAGGCTGATTTTGGACACCCCCTGCTGACACTATGGCGAAATACACGACACCTTTGATACATTACCTGCACAGACTGGACTCTATTAAAAATACTCCTATTCTGATGAAAATGCACTTTTAATTAGGGCACAAATGAGCCGCTTTTTTCCCTCTATTTCACAGTCTACCACCAATACAGCCGCTATGGCACTACTGCTGTCCTTCTATATCTGCAAAACTTCAAAGATTAATCTCGTAATATCTCCAAAAATGCAGGAAACAGATTAAAAATGTCATCTTCTTGACTTTGCAGCATGTTTCTTAGGGTGAATACTCTCCTCCTGCGGCTGCGGCCTTCTATTGTCTCTGGAGCCACATGTACCCTCTCGTCTCTGGTTAGCCTGCACTCATCTGCAGCCCTATCATCTGCATCAGTTGGCAGATACAAAGAACATAGCGCTGTTTTGCGTGTGAGCATGTGCGCCTTTTGTGTGTGGCACTGCTGCACTTGCTCTGAAATATCTGTGTGTGTTTGTGTGTGTGTGAGTGTGTGCGCTTGTGAGTGCACCGTCTTTTTATACGACAGAGTGGGAGGGTTGGAGGCATCTGATGGTTCCCAGACTTTGGCTCTGTTTTATCTGATGCTGCGATGGCAGCTGTTGACCAAAGGAATTCATACATGTGTGTATAATTTGTCTTATGGCTCAAAACAAACATGGGGACGAGGGACATCTTTTACCCGTTCAGTTTGATGTGACGCAAACAGAATTGTTACGTATGTTTGGATTGTTTGATTACAATTTCAGGGCTGTCTATTAATAGACTGGACCGAATATGAGAGCACATTGTGCCGTATTTCATACATAATCTGATGCAGACTGAAGCATGTTGCAGCACAGCTTTGAACTCCCATTTTATTTGCCTCTTTTCAATGATAATAATCTCAGGACTGGCAGCGGCGAATGAGCCTCCCCTGAATCGCAAAAGAAGAAAAAAATGACATGAATTAATAATGAGCAAAATTACTCAAACTCTGCACACCACGACCTGCCGCAGCACGGTGAGCAGCGGGCCCTTAGGTGACAAAGCTGAATAAATATTTTATTTCTAAATATGATTTTGGGGTCCTGAGTCTGCTGTGTGACAGTCCTGCTCAGGTTATTGCGGCACACGGATAAACCATTAAGCTAAAAAGGAGACTTGGGATCCGTCTGTGGTTCTTGTCTGGACAGGAGCGAGACTCAGAGATCAGGTTTAAGTGTAGCAGCCAGCCAGCTTCTGAGGCTCTCCGGTGAAGTGAGTAGACGGTGTTCTTTGGGTGCCCTCAGGTGGAAGGCTGCTATAATTGCTGTTGACAACCTACAAGTCATTGTGCAATTAAAGCATCTGCCGCTCCTGTGTGGCAGCGGGCTGTGATGCCTTGTGACAGCTCGTAGCCATTAAGCAACTGTAAGCAGCTGGCGTGCCTCGGTGGGGGAAAATAATGTGACAGAGGCACTCCCCCCTATTGTTGCCCTTGTCTCATTGGGGAAAAGGGGGACATTACATCACTCACTGGCTTTTCGGGCAACTCAATGAATGGGAAAGGGCCACGGCGACAAATTAGACTCGACACAGCTGGATATCAAAATGATGCTTTGGTTCAGAGGAAAACAAATAAATAAGAGCTTATTGTTTTCAAAAAGGAGGGGGCGGAGTCCGTGGGGGATAAACAATGAAAACCACGCAGGATACTCGAGTACTGCTGAAGGTATTTTTGCAGTTATGCAATTTTTAACGGATCAATGAGTCTGCAGAAAATCATTTATAGAAACAGTTTTGAAACTTGATCAACCATCAAGTCATGTCTGACGTGTGTCAACTCTTAAAATGTAGGGAAAGCAATCTGGAAGTAATAAGTCAACTGAAAGAAAACTACAAACTGATGGAAGATTTAGTAAACTTCTGAGTGAAATTTCTAACCTTTACTAGTTGACTGCAAATAAAAGTATAGACATCAGCGACAGGAGTGGTGGTTTTCAGGAGGACAGCAGTAGGGCGTAGGTGTCAGCTGAACACCTGTTTTTACAACTTACCTCTAAAATTTTCACAGTTCATGCAACACGTGACAGTCGGATGTTGGCAGGATGAGATTGTTGGTCAAAAGTCAAAGCTGAAGCAGGTTGAGGAGAAGATGAGCGAAGACTGCTTCGTCCACAGGCTGCACCTAAAAAGAACAAAACAGAAGCGGAGTTACTACAAGTACTGACGACTTTCAGGTTAACCTGTGAACTTTAGCAGGGCTTGATGAAGTTTTTGTGCGGTAAACTAAGCAAATGTTCAAAATCATTCTTCTCAAGATATGGTCACAGGTGCTCAGGTGAAGAATCATCATGACCAACAGAAAATGAACCATCTGATCTGAGCGATTTTTGCTCTGTTTGCTCTACGTGCAACCAAAGAGATGTGTGACACACAGGTACAGCAACACCACTTGGACAAACTACACGCAGAATATTAACAGAGTTTATCATCTTTCAGATCAGATTTTAGAAGAACACTCATTGGAGTCAAAAGAACAATGTTGGTCTTTTACATACAGTAAGACATTTCTCCCTTAAAATAAATATTTAAGTAAAGGTTTTTAAGCACAGAATTCACGCTAATGCACTTTATTATCCTCCACTGCTGTTTAAAAGTGAGAATTTAAATCTGTCCTTTGTTTTCTATGATGATAAATTCACTCTGAGCTGCAGCAAGTTATCACTAATGGGAAATATGCTGAAGGGAAATTATAATTGAACTGTATTAAAATAAAAACACAACATTTTGGTAAAATGTCCATCCTTTCCTGACCTTTGCTGACTGATTGTTATAACTGGCTGACTGTTTCTGTCATTTATGAAAATATATTGAAGGATTTTAATTTATTTACTGCTGGTTAAACAAAAAGAGGCAAACAAAGGACTTTAAACTCATAAATAGATGATGAAAATTATCAGAATTTGCTGCTTTACATGAAAAATTGTTTAGGACTTGGACCTTTAGTTGAACAAATGAAATAAAAAATTCACTATGTCCGCTGTTGTTCCAGATATTAAAGAGACTGGAGGATTCATTCAGCAATCAAGAGGATGATTTGTAGCTGCTGTACTTTTGTTTTCCTCATAATAATCCACATTAGAGCTGCTGATGCAGTGTTTCCTCTTAAGATACGGCCCAATACCAACATGGCTTCTGTTAATCATACCATTACTTCTTCGACTGGGTGGGATTTTTTTGCTGCTCGTGAGAAAAGTGAAAAACCAGATTTACAATTCTCCTGAAAGTCTAGATCAAAGTAGAGCTCACACTGGCCTGTTCGCCACTGCTGCGGAGACGACACTAGTCTTTCTTTAATTAAGCCATCTCTAAGTCATTTGTCTGTCACATGTGAATGTGCTCTTTGATGTACATATTGAGTTTGTAGGGGATTTATGTGGGTACGATTTGCACGCTCTTCGGTCAGATCTAATTATTTATTTACTTATCTCCTTTTCATGTCTTGTCTTCCACGCGACCGAGTCATCACTTTTCAAAATGCCCAAAGAAAACAGCATTTTCCTCCTAATATGACATAAACTGTTACCATACATTCATCTGAATCTACAGGGACAATCCTGACAGCATCAGATCCAAAGAAAGCAGTAATCAACCAGTCAGATTCATGTAGGCAGGCCTTGAGAGGCCCCTGCATTGTGTGTGTGTGTGTGTGTGTGTGTGTGTGTGTGTGTGTGTGTGTGTGTGTGTGTGAGAGAGAGAGGAAGATAAATGAGTGTGTATGTGTGTGCACGCACCTCCTGTCTGTCTTCAGGATTTGCTGTTTCAGCAGGGAAGGAATCAGTCCTGTGCCTTTGCCGTGCAGGAAAGTCAGCGTAAGGAAATTCCTGAGCTTCACAGTGGCAATCAGGCAGTTAAGGACCTGCCAGTGAAAATGGAGCTGTGTGTCAGTCACTTTCATGGCTTATTCACACCAGCACAACTGCTCTGGCATAAAAAAGAGGCATTCTCATTCACTCACCCCAACAACCCAGTAAATTCCCCTTACTTGAAAGAAAGTAGAGTATGTGTGTTAGGTGTCTTACAACAATTGCTTTATCTGAGGCTTACCTTTCAGGGGAAATATACTTTGAAAAGTCGTTCCATGTGTCTCTCCTTTCACTGTATTTACTCTGACCTTTATGATTCTTTCAATGTCATCTCTGAACCACTTTAAAGTGCCTTCTTCTAAACAAGCCCTGTCTGTTCTTACCTCTAGGTGCTAAAGCTAGGCTACTGTTTCTAACATGCTAACGTTGCAGCCACTCTTTAACAATTTCTGATAACTGTGAGCAAACGGGGACACCGAAAGTTCGAGTGAGACACTTTTTATGTCGTTTAAAATTACAATACTTTAAGTTTGCGTGGCTAACTGCACTTTTCTTTGCCACTGAGGGCCTTTTCTAGTACACTTCTACTTCGACAGGTGGCAGTAACGTAACCGTTGACGGGTTTACCGGCCTTTTAAATAAGAGAAACCATACAAAATAGTTTTATATCGAGCGAAATTTCTCATTTAAAGCCAAAAATTACATTTCAATACGAGTGCGGTATTCTTTTTATTCAAATAAATGATATAAACCGGATGGGGAATGAGCAAAAACGGTTTAAGGCCCCACACATCAACGGTGATGCTGCCTTCACGTACCGTCCTCTTGGTTCTACTTGAGGCTTACAAACGAACATTAAAGGGGAATTTAATAGGGTACGTTATGATAACGTCCTCATTGAAGGATTTACGTCGAGTTTTCAGTTTTAAAAGATAACTTAAAAGTTCTTTATTGATTCATTTACATGAAATATTTAACGTAAGCCCTCGCTTTTGGTAATTAACGGTCCTTCCTCGGATATTTTCCTTCTTTACTTATTTTTTTGGTGATAAAATTGTGCTTGTTCTAAAGTACTTGTCTGAATTTACTTTTAAGTTGATGTTTCATAGCCCTAATCGAGCAAAGTTACACTTTTCAAGTATCAGTAGCTGCCAGTATCAGTATATGTGGTGTTTTATGGTGGTTCAAGGATCTTTAATAGTGCTTATATCACTTCTAACAACAATAAACAACAATTATTCTAACAACAAACAATAACTTTTATTTAACGTGATATGAAAGTGGGGAAACGCAGTCATTTATCAGTGCTAAAAGATTAAAACTTTATTTTCCGATTGTTCTGAAGGCAGCATCTACGTCACCGGACAAAGCGCACGCTTCCACCCGCTGCCGTAAACCGTACAGGACAAGTCGTAAAACTAAGCTATCGGTGTTTTGAGAGAAGTCAACTGTAATGCTCATTGATTTCGAGATTGTAGTGGATTTAGAGATGTTAAAACACACCATAATCGTACAGGATGCTTGTTCAATCGAGCTGGTAAACCCTAACAACATGAGGGCGTCGTGCAGGTTCTAGGGAGCCAGAGGATGAGTATAATCTTCTGAAAAACAAGCTCAGAAATGGCAACATACAACGCCGAAGGTAAAGGAAAACTGCCTTGAATAAGCTCCCGGCATGTATTGTACCTAAACAGTCTCTACCGTGACTTTTGGATTTGTTTCTCGTAAATCTTCCCGTTCTAAACAAGGGTTTGGTGTCTTTGTTGTTGTTCAGTCGCTGCAGGTCACTCTGTCGTGGTAGAGGTGAGCCCAGACATCCACATCTGCGGCTTCTGCAAACAACAGTACAATAATTTTGAGGTTTTTCTCGCTCATAAGCAAAATGGATGCTCCTTACCCACCTCTGACACATCAGCTACAACTGCTACAACCACCCTCCCAGGTAAAAACAGCATGTTTCTGCTTTTGCTGCCAGTATTGTGCTTATGAACTCGATTCGACAAGACACTACTCTCATGCACTCATTTTCTGTCCTGCTCAGATCCTAGCACTGAGTTTGTTTTCGAGGAAACATACCAGACCTGTGTCAGGAAAGGTGTGAAAAAGATCCTGACCAAAGCACAGAAAACACCTGCGAAAAAACTGAAACCTGCCCTGACTTCAAAGAGATACAGCTGCTGTTTCTCAGGTTGGTGCCTCTCTCCGTTTATGGCTTTAACACTTTACTTTTTCTCTGTACTTCCTTCAAGACACCTATCATCAGCTCTTATTTATTTAAAGCACTTTCAGATCCTCCTTCCATGCTACACACACCTAATAAAAAGCACAATATCTGCTGATTCACAGGTTGCACTTTTAAGACGCAGTATGGCCAAAAAGACATGGAGCGGCATCTCAAAACCCACACTGGTCAGTAATTCTGCTTATTTATACCTAGGGCTGGGCGATAAAACGATAATGATATATATTCAAAATTAATTTCTATCAATATTGATATGAAACATGGCAGAATTGCGGCTATTGAAAAGCATATCGACCATGTTTTGGTAGACTATATGATTAGCCAATGAAAAGGCAATACATGGCGCACTGTTGTGACATCACTGTTCTCCTTGCAGGTGAGAAGCCGTTTGAATGTGAGCTGTGTCACAAGCGTTTCAGTCGTCGGGACAAGCTGAACATGCACAGCCGATCGCACACAGGTGAGAAGCCGCACAAGTGTAAACTCTGTCCCTACGCGGCGGCGGATAGCAGCAGTCTGAAGAAGCATCTGCGCATCCACTATGACGAACGGCCTTTTAAATGCCAGATCTGTCCGTACGCCAGCCGCAACTCCAGCCAGCTCACTGTTCATCTCCGCTCGCACACCGGTGAGTTCTCAAAAATCCTCATCGTAGTCAGGTGCAAATATGACTTGACCCCCAAAAAATTCTAACAAAAGGTTTCTGAGCTGTTTTTTTTAGTACTAGATATCCTTAATAACATACTAAAAGTTTACCAAAGTTTTAACGCTAGAAAGGTGTAATTTTCAAGATGGCGTCCATGATGGGTTTAAAACCTGGGGAGACGCCTCAGGTGAATAGGGTAAAAAAATTTTAACAGACAGATATCACCATGAAACTTCCTGAGTTTATAACTTACATTAAGACAAATATTTTTTGTATTACTAGTTTTGTTAAATGTTATGTTTGATTCTATAAATATTCAATATTATTTATCCCCAAAGGGAAACTGAATATTAAAATTTTAGATATTCATTAAATTCAAATGATATATTCCAAGATAATAATGGTAAAAAAAAATTATAATAATATAAATATTAATAGAAAAATCTACAATTATACAGAAAAATAATAAAAGAAATAATTAAAAATAATGAAAAAAAAAATAAAAATGCAAAAAATAGTAATAAATTATGAGATAAAATATTAAAATTCAGTATTTTAATTTTAAATATTCATAAAAATTCAAAAAAATATAACAATAAAATAAATTTATTTAAAAAAATAAAAAATAAATGAATACAATAAATGACCAAAAAAAATAATAATGATAATTAAAAAATCTAATAATAATAATGATAATTAGTTTGCTTCTCCTGGTTGGGAGAGGGCCCCCTCTTTGGATATCTTTTTTTTATCACTCTGTAAATGAGAGACGAGGAATACTGGCGCCTGATACATGTTTTGAGCATATAATATTCTAATTAGCATATTTTTATGATAGATAAGTGATTTCAAGTTCCAATAATGTTCCACAGGCAGTGTTGCATGGGGACATTTTAATTTTTAGTGCTGGTGAGAGTATTTTCTCATTTACAGAGCGATAAAAAAAGATATCTAAAGTCCTCTCCTCCCTCCTTCTGACTCTAGTATGTCAACAAAATAAAACAAGAATTTTGAAAGGGGCTTTCGGTTCAGTTTTCGGTTCTGGAAATGTATGCAAATTAGTGCATATTTAATTAGATATTGCCTCATTGAAATATTCAAACATAACATCTAACAAAACTTGTAATACAAAAATATTTGTTGTAATGTAAGTTATAAACCCGGGAAGTTTCATGGTGATATGTGTTTGTTAAAAATTTTACTCTATTCACCTGAGGTGTCTCCCCGGGATTCCAACCCTTCATGGATGCCATCCTGAAAAAGACACCTTATTAGCGGTCAAACGTTGATAAACTTTTAGTGTCTTATTAAGGACATCTAATACTATAAAAAACAGCTGAGAAATCTTTTGTTTGAATTCTTAAAGGGTTAGGTGTTTCTCTTTTTCGTAAATGCACCCGCCTATCTGTTGTTTCTCGAGGGACTTGAATTTAATTTCTGTTTCTTTTGATTCTCCAAGGGGATTCACCTTTCCAGTGCTCACAGTGTGACGCAAAGTTTAAAATCAACTCAGACCTGAAGAGGCACATCCGTATCCACTCCGGCGAAAAGCCGTTCAAGTGTGACTTTTGTGATTATCGCTGCGCCATGAAAGGCAACCTCAAATCTCACATCCAGATTAAACACAACTCCGGGGACTCCTTCAAATGCTCTCACTGTGACTTCCAGTGTTCCAGCAAGACCGCTCTGCGGCAGCACGTGCGGGAACACCAACCAGTTCAGCCCATGCAGTGTTCCAAGTGCTCTTACTCCTGCCTCAGCAAGGGGGCGCTCAAAGTCCACGAGAGGATCCACTCAGAAGAGCGGCCCTTCAAATGTGACTTCTGTGACTTTGCCTCCAAGCAGCGCAGCAACCTGGTCATCCACAAGAAGAAATGCCACTCGGATAAGCCGGAGAAAGGCGGCAGAGGGAAAGGGGGCAAAAGTGGCGGTAAGGGAGGAGGCGACGCTTCAAAACCCGCCAGCTCCAGATATCGAGCGAAGCTAGAGGCAGCCCGAGCTTTCTGCTGTGACTCCTGCGATGCGTCCTTCGTGAGGGAGGACTCTCTGCGGAGCCACAAGAAGCAGCACAGGGACGCTCAGAACGTGTTACAGCTGCAGAATCCAAACCCGGCTAATGCACTCAATGTGGTTCCCGTTCCTACATCACAGAGCGGCGCCCAGCTTCAGGTTCCTCTACAAACCGAAACGATGAATCCTTACAGCAGCGCACAGCTCAAAATCATCGTATCCCACCCTCTGGGCCAAGAGAACTCCTTAATCCCAGCAGGTGTGGACGCTCAGACTAAAACAAACATGGTTCTGCTCAGCCCAGAAAGCCAGGACATGGTGGTGAACTCCATGATCCAACAAGTCAACCTGTTAGCGCCCATTCAGTCTCTTAGCTCCTCCCAGACCACAGAGGCCGCCCTGGAATCCCAGGCGGTTCTCCTGACACAGCTCACCCCCGACGACACCAACAACCAGCTCCACCAGGCGCTTTTGCACACCGCCATCGCCCCTCAGGACTCCAGCGGCAGCTCGCAGACTTTCATCACGACCTGCTCCGAACTGGACGGCCTCAACGCTCTCATCCAGGAGGGCGGCACAGAGGTGACAGTGGTGACGGAGGGGAACACCGCCATGGTTATGAACGCTCCGGAGATGGTGTGCGGTCCTCTCGAGGGGGTGTCCAAACCAGCAGGGGCGGTTAAGGTCCAAGAGAGTGCCTTGTCTTGCGAAGAAAGCGCGTTACTCGTGCCAAATATCACTCTGAGCAGCCAGAACGTCGTCATCCACGGCGTTCCCCTCATAGTGTCCACGCAGAGTCAGCAGAATCCCATAGAGCAGCTCTCACCTCACACGCTTTACTCCAGCTCGCACACGCTGGACTGAGCAAAGACTTCGGTTTGTTTCTCCTCGAACTTAAAGACTTTTACTGCATCATAAGCTATTCCTCCACCAGATCAAAGTTTACGTACTGTACTCGTAGTCGCACCGATCAGCGTCAACCTTTTGTTTTTGTAAAAATCCTGTAGGAACATAATTGTGTTAGTTTTAAGATTTTAGGACAACTAATTCTTGTAGCACAATAATCGTCTGACCCAGGATGGTGTAATTATGTCGAGCACTGAAAGTTGGACGTCATCTCATACATGCTGTTTTTTTGTAGGCGTGAACCAATCAAAGCCTACTTTAACTGTTCAGATAAATAAAGATTATTTTCAGGCAACATCTCAGAATAAAAGTCAAAATGACTTCATGTCTTTGTGCGATGGGTTTCTCCAGTTTCCCCACTAGATGGCAGCAGAGCGATAGAAGTCAGAGGTAAGTTTCCTTCATCAGATCTGAGTATACAGCAGACTTGTACTTTTCATTCAATCGATTTCAGATACGCAGCTTTTTTAGTGAATGTTTTCTGAATCTAAGACCCGCATGTGAGTGGCAGATTGAATATCAAGGTCTTCCTCTCGAAAGGCCAAGTTCCTTTTCCCCCGATAGATTTTCAATAAAGAGTCTGTTTTGCTTGTAGCTACCTATTACTGTGGCCGTTTTTACACTCAGACATCAGCACTTAGTATCTGCGGAGAGTGAAGGCTGCACTTTTAATAGGAGTCTCCTACGAACAGTTGACCATTGATTTCTTCCTGGTCTCTCTCAGCACTAATGGCTCTGCTGATGTGGACTCCTCTCTCTGCCTCAGCATGGCCACAGGCTCAGATGATGCTTTTGATGAATGACTCTGACAGCAGCCAAATCTCTTCAGAGTGAGTTTGTGCCTCGACCTGGGAAGTTGTCATCTGTCATAATGATACTGGCACAGAACAAAAATACAACAACCCATTGGTTATTACACATTTCAGCATACTGAAGAAAAACTTTATTTTATCCCCGATGGGAAATTCAAAATATAAATGATAAATATTTATAAAATTCAAATAATATATAGAATAAAATAAAATTATAATGAAAATAAAATTATAATAAAATAATTAAAAATAATGAATAATTTAAAAAATTCAATAATAAAAAATAAACAGATAAAAAATTTAAGAAATTCAGTAATTATAAAATAGACAAAATAATAATAATAAGAAATAAAATACAATAAAAAACAAAATTAGGAAATAAAAAGAAAAAAAATTAAGAAATTCAGTAATAATTGAAAGAATATAATAAAATAAATAAAAAATAATTTAAAAATTTCAATAAACACAAAATAATTTAAAAAAATAATAAATTTTAAAAAATTCAATAGTAAACATCAAATAATAAAAAATAAAAGAATTCAATAATAAACATTAAAAAATAAAATAAATAATAAAAATATCAATTAATAATAACAATATACTCATAATGATTATAATACAAATGTAATTATAATAAAAATAACATAAAATGTATATTCAATGCATCTTTTCCTGCAATCTAGGAGGAGAAGATCTAGCTTTTGCCACAGGTCTGAGTTTATTGTTGACCTGTTGTAGCAGATCAGAACATTATCACTCTGTTAATTAGTCATATTGATGCTTTTACAGAGGGATTTTTTTTTTTTATTGCTAGATGAGAAATATGATACCACAGTTATTTTCTCTTTGTAACCCATAAAGGTGAAGCAGCAACTTGACCAAATATTTAATTGATATTCGATATTCCAACCGTTTAAAAATCTCGAATCAGAAATTTGAGACTCATTAGATTTTGTTCACTTTTTCATTCCTGAAAACTTTAGGAACACGTGAAAAGTGAAAATCGGCGTCTATTCATATTCTGTGTTAAATTATTCCCTTTCATTGTCGATACCTGCTCTCCAGCTCACATTCATATTATAATCACAGCGGTGATCTGGGGCGTCATTGTTGACCCTCTTCAAACATTCGTGTGTGATTCCAGGACTCGGGTCTGGTCTCCTGAAGTTCAGGTGGCGTCGTTGAAGGAGGAGAGGAGCACCTGAAATTCCATTATGCATGAAGACGAGCGTTTTGTGGGAAAAAGAGTAAGAAGTGCTCTCTGGTGTATCTCTTTGATCTATTATCTAACAGACTTCCAGGCCCTAATCCTGAGCACCCTTGAGGAGGAGAAGGAGAAGAAGGAGGAGGAGGGTCCATTTTTCCCTCTCCCTTTGCTCCACATGTGACGACACAGCCGGGTTAAGTGTTTTTTTTCTCTGGATTGAATAGTTTCTGTTTCATCCTCAAATTTTATACTCTGGTTACAAGTTGTCTTTCTTTTTTTTTTCCAGAAAGGTCACAGCAGTTTTAAACCATCCTCCTGATACTGTATGGCACTTCTAAGTTCCTTCCTTCCTGCCTTTGAATGGGGTCATAAACGTCTCCACCAAAAAGCAATTTCCACTCACAGCTGCTTAAAGAAACCGTAAGTTGTGATGCATTCCTCCCAGACATAAATAGATCCAGAGAGAGAGAGAGAGAGGACCAGGTGATAGAAAGACAAACAACAGGACTAGATCAACACACCAGTGTGAAAATAGTCTGAGATAAACTTTAATGAATTTACTTTTATGCCACAAGTCCAATCTATCACTCTGTTCAACAATACATCTCTGACCTTTGCTTTGTTTTGCGCACTCATCAGTAAATGGCACTGAAAGCCTTAATGAAATTAACTGATTTGTCGAGTATTGATCAGGATTTGTTCCTTTTTGCCAATGCCGGCATCTTTCTGCCTGTGACACTATTGACATTTTAAGTGAGTTTTGATTTCTCAGGACACTGTGGTTTTTATCTCGTCTCTGATTGATCAGCCCAGACGCTCAAAATTGTGTTTTTGAATGCAAAGGGATTATTTGAGAAGACATTATTAAGCTATTGTAGTGTCCCAGAGTCGGATCGATTGATAACTTTTGGGTAAATTCTTTCTTTTTTTTAATGAAATGAATGGAAGTGGTCACATTAGTCGCACACACGGTCTTTAAACTTCTTTCAGAGCTTTGTCATCTTTCCTCTGGTGGTATTTAGGGTGTTGTTTCTGTCTTTTTTTGTCTATCTTGAGTTGTCAGGAAGCATTACCCTGACAGGCTCTTTTGTTGTTGTTTCTTTCTGATTGAAAGCAGCAGTTTAAAACCGGTCCTCAGGGGGGGCTGAAAAATAAGTATAATTTTGAGCCAATAGGACGGAGCGGAGTGAGAGCGCCAAAGCCCGTAAAAGTCCTTTAATGGACAAAGGAATGCTACAGTATCTGCTGCCCTCCAACACACAGCCTGCGCCTTTTATAACAATGTCCTTTATAACGACGTGGGCTCCAGCATTTAGCACCGAGCGCTGCCGAGTGTGATCTGGTGAATGCAAATAAGCAGCTATCAGCTAGCTTTTGTGATCGACTAACAAAGACATTTAGCCATTGTTTCTCCGTCCTGTTTCTGTGCCACTAACCCCAAACAAATGAAGGTTCGCATGGTTTTGACCGTGCACACGGTGCCGCGTTTTCAAACAGGAACAATCACTCAATTGTTTGCTTTTATTCCTAATTTTTTTAGCATGTTTAAATGTTTAGAGTCACGTGTCAACAGGAGCAGGATTTTGGGTCTTTTTTGATGCTCAGTTTGGTGACAGCCTCTGATCTTTCTCTCATGTCAGCATGTTGCTTTGTGAGTCTTTTCTGTTCACATCATGACGCTCGATTTTTAGAGCTGTTTGTCTTTCAGCCACCAAACTTATTTCTTCAACATTTATTTATCTGTGTCTCATGGCACCGGCTAAAATTATCGATCACATGTCTTTATGGCCCAAAAAAGAGGAGGTACTACTTTATGCAACCAAAATGAAGTATCTTGATTTGTCTGATTTACAAAGGAAATAAGTTTTCCTGTCAAGATACACAAATTTTACACGTAGTATCAGTTAAGACTTTTGTGTCCACAGGGGGCGCCAAACTGACACAAATCAAAGTTTCACACAGGAGCTTTAATCTATTTGTATATATATATTTTTTTTTAAATATGCTTTAAAGATTGCTCAAAAAAGATTTACAATTTTTTTATAACAGAATTTCATGTCTTTAATATTTTCTACCTTTTTTTTTTTCTTTTTTTTTTGCATGTTTGATTTTTTCTTTTTTTTTTTTTTACTTTTTGGATCAAAAAAAGATTGTATTTTTTGATAAACATTGTTATTCCTCTATAAATAAATGTTAATGACTAAATAAAGTTACATCAAGATGAAAATGATAAGAAATTTGGATTTTGTAGGATTGTGTGAACACGTAATTTAAGGCTCTTTTAGTTTCATGTCAAAAAAGTAAAACTCCATGAGAAACAGAGTAGTCAAAATCTAAACTTTAAACTTTATTCTTATGTGTTTATATCATTAAGGTGGTAAATGAGACAATATCGACCAGATTAAAGAAGTTTCATAACAAAAGAAAAAAGTTCTTTACAATTTCAGAAATTCCTCGGCTTTCAACAGATGGCAACGAGCAGGCAAAATATTTTCTTTGTTCACACATGCCTTATCCTGAGAAAACAAACACGATGGAAATCTGATCTTTACAGATGCAGGCCATTGTTTAGTGTGTGTGAGTGTGTGTGTTCACACATGCGTATGTGTGTCCTTAAGCCTGTGTTTACCTTGGCTTTTTTTTTTAAAGCACTTAATGCACACAGACAAACTTATTCTTATACATCTTTAAAACAAAGTCGTGGTTCAGTGTGAACAGGGGGGATGTGAGAGGAAGAGGAAAAAACTCATCAGTGTTAAAACTTAATTATATTATTCATTTGTTCTTTTATTTCAACTTTTAGGAAACTCTTGGGAATGTCCTCATTTTCATTTATAATACAATAAAAATTAAATACAAACGTGCATTAATCTTTTAAAAAGGGGAAGCTTTAAGTGGATCAATCAGCTTCTTCCTGTAGTTTGTCGTCAGGGTTTTCTCCACATGGATGAATCAGCTCTGACAGGCAATAAAACTTTTAGAAGTTTTGAAAGTTTCACCTTTTTGTACAGAAGTTCAGATGTGACTAATTTAAAATATACTGAAACAAAAATGTGAGTTATAACAAAACCCTTAAAAAAATTGATCTGAATTTATTCAAACAGAGGATCACTGTGTTTGCAGGTAAACTGAGTTAAATTAGTTTGAGTGGCTTTCTGCAGGTTAACGCTCACATACCTGTGCTGGTTACACAGTCAGTACTTTTACACGCTGATAAAAAAAATTCTATTTATTGACTTAGTGTGACTTAAAATACATGTTAACAGTTAGTCCGACCAAAACCTTAAAAACTCTTACAATAAATGTTAATATGTTTT